AAGGACATCGCAATCTTCCAGCTGGGGCCCTGCATGAAGGGCGCCGGGACCTCGCCGAACTGCTTGTCCAGGTCCTTCGCCGCCTCGCTCGGCAGCGCAGCGGGCCGCCGCAGCGCGGTGGCCACCCCCTCGCCCTCGAGCGCGCGCGTGCGGGCGGTGATGGCCTCATCGAAGTGGTACCGCCAGCGCTCCACGGTCCGCCCCAGCGAGGCGGCGGCGCTGCAGCTAGCCCGTCGGACGCAGACCCCGCCGCCCCACGGCGAGGCGTCGGAGGCGGAGACCTCCGCATGCCACGGGGCTGCCAGGTGCGCGGAGAGCAACGGCAGCAAGTTCCGCAGCGCGCGGAGCTCCCAGCGCACCGAGGCCCACAGGGGGAGGGCCTCGTCCCGCGCAGCCTGGCAGAAGCGGTAGCTCGCGTCGAAGATGGCGAGCGACGGCCGGCGCAGCAGCATGATCCAGGCGCAGTGCCCGAGGAGGACCTCCACGATCTCCCCCCGCGCGGACCCCGGGCCAGCAGCTCGTCGATCGCATAGCGCACTCGCCACAGGCGCTTCGGGGACACGCGGACGCAGTGCGATGACCCGCACAGCTCCAGCCCCACGAACGAGCACTTCTTGCTGGCCCGCTGCTGCTCATGCACTGAGAAGCCGAGGTTGACCAGCTCCGACTCCACCCGCGCCGCGGCGGCGTCGACCTCCGACTGGCTGGCGCCAAGCACCAAGAAACTGTCCACGTAGGCGGCGGCACCCAGGCCGTCCGGCTTGCCCAGCACCAGCCCCTCGCTGCGATCTCGGACGTGCCGCGATACTGGCGCGCCCGCCCGCACCAGGGCGGACTCCGTGACGATCTGACACAGGTGCATCGCCCAGCTGCAACCCATGGGCAAGATGGTGAGCTGAGGGGTGAGCCAGTCGCCACAATCCACCGCTGCGCCGTCCAGAGAGGTGATCCCCACCATGCCCGCGCGGACCCGCCAGAGCTTGAAGAACGAACGAACACAGGCCTGCTGGGATCCGCATCGCGTAGAAAGCGTTCTCGATGTCCCCGCAGGCGAAGAACAGCGGGGTGGTGGCCTCACTCTCCAATCGAGAGAAGGATGCGGCCGACGGCAGCTCGGTAGCAGGCGCCTGCCGAAAGTGCAGGTTGACCAGCCTGGTGTCGAAGATGAGCCTCTGGCGGTCCCCCTTCTCGCGAACCGTGAAGGCCCCCAACGTTGGGGCCTTGCCATCCCACTTGCAAAACTGGAGCATGCCACGGCGGTGCAGCTGCTCAAGAAACCGTCCATACACCTTGGGGTCTCGCAGCCCAGGATCAGAGTAAGGAGCACGTAGTCCCAGTTAAGCGCGAAGCTGAGCAGCCTCCTCCGGGCTTCGGAGCATGTTGGCCTCCCAATCCGACAGCCACGCCGCGTCGGCCGGCTGGAGGGCGGACTCGAGGGACACAGGAGCCGTCCCCGCCGCCGGCCAGGAAATTCTGCCCTCGCTGTAGGATGCCAGATCCGCCCGCTCCATACCGCACATGGGGCAGGCGCCGCAGAGCTCGCGAAGGCCCCCGCGGGGGCACACGTCCTCGGGCGGCCCCGGGAAAGCGGTGTACTGCTCCCGGATGTGCTCGAGCGCCATGTGCTGCAAAACTGAGGCACGACGTGGGCGACTGCCGCTGCGCCCTGCCAACTCGTTGAGCGATCCGATGCCGAGGTTAGCCCACTGCAGTGAATGCACCAGTCTATCCCGACGGCGCCCCACAGCACGGCAAGCCGGTTGTCGGGCAGGCAGATCACGAAAAAGAGGAAGGGGGAACACATCTCGCTGACGACTGGGGCCCATGAGACCACCGGAGCGCGATGCTCAAGCCTGGAGGAGCCAGTGAGGGTCGGCTGAGCTCCCTCGCCAGCGGGGCGAGAGGACGCCCCGTTCTCGTCACGTCTTCCCCTTCTTGCCGCCGCCGCCGCCGGGGCGCCACCGCCCCCGCTGCCGGCTCCGCCCCCGCCGCTGGGTGCGGCAAGCTGCCGCTCCTCACGCGCCTTGCGGCGCTCCTTCGCGATGCTGCTCTCGGCCTGCAAGCGCTCCGCCACCCACTTGGTGAGCTCTGGACTGACCATGAGGCCCCTCGTGGAACCCATGTCGGTGAAGAAGTACCCCTCATCCTGCTGGAGCCCGCCTCCTCCACGCTGCGACAGAATCTTGTCCTTGTACTTCTCCTCGCACAGCTGGAGTTGGCGGGCGACCAGCTCTCCGCGCGCGAGGTTGGCGCCGTCGAGCTGGTCGTAGGTGCACATGGTCTGCATGAGCTTGCTGAACTCCGCGTGCAGGTGCACCGCGGGGTCGTCGGGCCCGACGGAGGCCCCCAGCGACGCCTTCCACGCCACGTGGTGGCCCATGGGGGTGCCCCCATGCTCCATCTGGTACTCCGCCACCCACTGGAAAGTACGAGGCCCCGGAACGGGCCAGTCAGGAAAACTGGTGGATCGGTTGCTCTGAACGGCTTCACGAAACTCTCGATACCGCAACCCCTGTCGATCATACCGCACAGGCAGTGCCCGTAGATCGTCTCCACCTCGCTCGGCTCCCACTGCAGCTCCAGCGCCATCGCCTTCCACAGCACCAGGGGCCCCCCCCAGCGCGGCGGCGAGGCCAGCCAAGCCGCCCGCGGCGGGGGCGGGCGCCGCAGCCGCAGCGGCCCCATCGCCCGCGGCGACCAAGGCGCCGGCTGGGGCCACGGCCGCGGCGCCGCCCGCGGCGGCTCCCGCGCCAGGGGCGCCCGCGGCGCCGGCCCCGGCGGGCCAAGGCAGGGCAAGGGGCGCTGCGCCGGCGGCGGCTCCGCCACCGCCAAGGGCGGCAGGCAGGCCCGCGGCCACGCCGGCACCCAGCAGCCCCCCAGCAGCCCCGCCGCCAGCGCCCCCGCCTCCTGCACCCACGCCCTCGAAGCACGCCATGGCCACCTGCGCCTCCTGGAGGACCCCGACCATCTGCGGCGCGGTCGGGAGGTGGGCGAAGTCGTAGTGCCCCCGCCCAGCAGGCGCTGCCACCGCCAGGGCTCCGACACCACGAGGCTGCTTGAGATAGTATCCCCGCAGGTCGGTGTTCGCGGGCGTGTACTCCTCGACATATACGTCCATGTCGGGCGTGAGCACAGAGAAGGCGCCGGGGGTGCGAGACGAGCCCACCAGAAGAAGCCGAGCATGAAGAAGGGGAGGATCGACATCGTACTCCACCCAAATCTCGTCCCCAACATTCATCGAAACTGGCCGCCTCCCCTCGGCACCCGCGGGTCAGGCGAGCCCGGGGCCGCTAAGCCTGGCCTCGACGGCGGCAGGGCCGACGCACGGCTCGCGCAGGAGAAGGCCCGGCGGGCCCAGCCCAGCAGCCCGCGGAAGAACTCGAGGGCGAGGAGCACGGCGGCCCCCACCACGAGCTCAAGGGCCGCGCGCCACCAGCCTGGCGACGCCGAAGCCCCGGCCCCGCAGTCGCAGCGGCACTCGGGGCAGGGGCTCGGGCACACAGGCGCCCGCGAAGCCAGGCACTCGCCCAGCGCCTCCTGCAGCGTGCCGAGCACCTGCTGGAGGTCCCGCGACGCCGCGGCGCCGCTGTCCACCCCCGCCGCCGCGGGGCTGGTCCCAGGCGCCTCCTCCGGCACCAGGGGGGCGGGCTGCGCCGCGAAATGACCCAGGAACGCCCCGGCGAAATGCGCGATGCCCAGCCCGGCAAGCGCGCGGGGGCTCAGCATCTGGAGACCTCGCGAGAGAACTGAGCCAGACGGTTTCGGAGGATAAACCCTCGCGGCACTCAATCGCTAATGAGATGACAAGTGACACACGACCATCATCATCATCATCATCATCATCATCATCATCATCATCATCATCATCATCATCATCATCATCATCATCATCATCATCATCATCATCATCATCATCATCATCATCATCATCATCATCATCATCATCATCATCATCATCATCATCATCATCATCTTCATCTTCATCTTCATCTTCATCTTCATCTTCATCAGCATCATCAGCATCATCAGCATCGACATCATCCTCATCGCTGGCATCATCACTACCAGCAGCAATACTAGTACAAGATTTGGTAGCATCATCAAAACCATAATCCTCAACATCATCATGATCGTCGTCATCATCCACAGCATCGTCATCATCAGCAGCATCATCGTCATCAGCATCGGAATCATCATCATCATCGTCATCTCACCACCACCACCATCATCAGCATCATCAGCATCATCATGGTGGTCGGCACCACCATTATCACCACCACAACCATCAGCATCAGAATCATCATCATCTTCATCAGTATACTTATCATTGCCATCAGCATCGTCACTATAATCACTATAGTCATCATTATCAGCAGCAGCTGCAGCGGTGGGAGCAGAACCATCGGAATTATCATCAGCATCATCATCGTCGTCATCGTCGTCATTCTCAAAATCAGCATCATCATCAGCACCAGCATCATCAGTACCAAAATCATCATCCACAACAGTACCATTAACATCAACATCGACATCGACAGCATCATCATGATCGTCATCATCATCGTCGTCATCATCGTCATCATCATGATCGTCGTCCTAATCGTCAGCATCATCAACACCATCATCGGCTGTCTCGATATTCATATCCGAATCACCACCAGCAGCAGCATCAACATTAGCATCACCATCAGAAGCAGCATCAGTATAATCATCATTAGGGTCGTCATCATCAGCAGCAGCATTACCAGGATCGTCATCTTAATCATGGTCATGGTTATCAGAATCATCGCCAACATCATCAACATCCTAATCATCATGGTCGCCAACACGGTCATTGTCGTAATGCGCCTCATCCTGACCCCACTCCTCACCTCTCTCCTCTCAAATCCTCGTCCGCCTCCTCCTCCTCATCATCATCATCATCATAATCTTCATCATTACTACTCTCATTGATCATCCTCACTCCTTACTCCCCATCCACCCCACCCTGCCCGGCCCGCCCTGATCATGTCCGGGTCGCGGTTGATCCACTGGGTGCCCACCCTCTTCTTCCAAATCTGGGCCTCGCCCCCCCACATCCTCTGCTCCGTGTGCGGGGGGCCCTGTGCAGCGGGAAGGACGGCCAGCTACGGAAGGGGAGGAACAGGACATGGGGAGGAGGAGGAGGAGGAGGAATACAATCGGACCTAGGCCAGAAGACCATCCCGCAAGAACACGAGACCCTCCGTCGACCATAACAAACAGAACATCAAAGGGTACCCTCCCAGGAGGCACAAGAACATCCAACGAACACGGAAAACACGAGGGCACCCTCCTCGAACCGACCTCGATCATATACCGCGGTCCGACTGTAGAAGGAAGAAGGAGGAAGGAGAAGGGAGGGGATAAAGGGGGATGGGATAGGGAGGAGGGGGGGGAAGAGAAACAGCAGCAGCAGCAGCGAGGCTATGCGCAGATGAACGCACATCAACATGGTCAGGACGTCAGAACTTGGGGGACGTCGGCGCCGCCTCGGACCATCATTTAGTGCCGCCGCGCTCGGCCAAGCCAAGACGTAGAGGACGAGGACGGCGACGACAGTGCGCGGGTCTCATCGCTCTGCCCAACTGCCCAACTCGAAGCCCGAAACGCTGGCCGACGAACTCGAGGACCGTCACGACGCGCTCGGCTCAGAGGCCCCCGATGAGGAAAGCGCCGAGGGCCGAGCTGGCTGGCGCCACTCGTGCTCAGGAGCGGCGCCCCAACACGTGAGGAAGCCCCTCGAGGCTTGAACTCTCGCCACCCCTGCTGGAGACGTGGACGCGACAGGCGTCACTAGACAAGCGCGTTCCACGTCTCGCAAGGTAACTACTCGCAAACGGCCTGGATCCGCCGCGGGGGGTCTGCGATACATTATATCGAAGCAGACCTGTTTTTTTTCGGACGTTTGCGAGTAGGCACTTTGCGAGTGGTGGAACGCGTTCGGAGAGTCACTCGGGAAGGTCATGAGGCAGAGCCCGTGCTGAGGCCGGGGCGCGCGGGTCGCGGCGGAGTCAGCTACGTGCAAGAGTGATCCGACAGGCGAGAGCGACCTCTGGCGCGCGGCGCAGGGCAGGGCGATGGGGGCTCAACCCCAGGCGCGCAGGCCGCCGCCATCACACCGCAAACAGCAATCGGGCGGAGCGAGGAGGAGGAGGAGGAGGAGGAAGAGGAAGGAGGAGGAGGAGGAGGAGGAGGAGGAGGAGGAGGAGGAGGAGGAAGGAGGAGGAGGAGGAGGAGGAGGAGGAGGAGGAGGAGGAGGAGGAAGGAGGAGGAGGAGGAAGAAGAGGAGGAGGAGGAGGAGGAGGAGGACTGGGCCTCACAAAAGGGTCACTCCGGCAAAGGATCACTCTCGCGTGCAGGTCGGCGGAGAGCCGCGGGACCTGCCCGGGAGCCGACCGGCGCCCGAGCAGTGCCGCCACACGGCCCCTCGGCAGGTGGGGGGGGAGCCGTGGACTCACCCGGCAGCCGCCGCGGGAGTTCGAGGGCAGAGAGGCCATGGCCAGCTCGGGGTCGAACGCCAGACCATCGGGTGGAGGAGGGGGGGAGGCGCCCGCCCAGCACGGCGTCCGCCGCCGCCCAGGCGGCACCTCCTCCTCCTCCTTCTCCTCCTCCTCCTCCTCCTCCTCCTCCTCCTCCTCCTCCTCGGCACCATCGTTAGTATCGACAGCAAAAGTTTCGCCGCTGTTCCATCATGTCCATCGTCAACATGATCATCACCCGCATCCTCAACAACAGCATCAA